CTGATTGTTGATGTCCTTGGTCTCGTCGAGCAGTACGACGAGACCCACCCGCTGCGTTTGAAGGAGGGCCGTCGGAAAACGACCTCCCCGAACGCGAGTACAGGGATTGCAAGGTGTCAATCCTTTTGGTCATCTCAGAAGAGATGCGCGCCCTCCAGTAGGGATCATTAGGGAGGTAGGCCTCCCTAGGGGCACGGTTCGAATTGTCCAGGCAACCTGGACACGAATCACCCCACAAGAGACAGGGTAATCTTGCCTCCCTTGAAAGCCGGTGCAGCTTGCATTGCACACCGGCTGAAGTACGCTTTTCAAACCTGATGTGAGCTACATCAAGTTTGGCGAGCCAAGCCTCACGGACAATGCACTCGATGTTATTGATGAGGGCATTCCATCCTTGCATCAAGGCTTTGCCGTCTCGTACACGGCTACCATTGTACCACCGATGTTTAAAGAACGCATCGGTGAAGTCTTCTTTCTTCCTCAGCACGGATTGTTCCGTGCTGGAATCAGGTGGGCAAATATTCCTGCAATCGAACAACGGGATTCGATCCCGTTCGGTAGTCGTGCCGGCCAACCGGTCCTACTCTCTGGATGGCGGCATCCACGGAGACTCCACTTGAGGAGCGTGGCGCAGGACATTTCGGTCCCTGGCCTCTTGATTGGTGCCAGCGTGAGCACTGACACCAGTGATACCTCGATACCTCAAGTTAATTCGCTCGTGGTAATGAATAGGTGCATCATCGACATCCCCACGCATCCTATCGTTGGATGGACCTGCGTGGTGCGGAGACTCATCGGAGTAATCACTCGATCCGAAGATCTCGGTCACGAATTTGCCACGTTTACCAGAGCCAGTCAGCCTGGCTCTTGCATTGTCCGCCCCGGGTGACCAGGAGGCGTGAAGTGTTGCCTTCGAGTCGGATACATCATCCGACTCTCCAGAATAGATGAGCTCTATTTCAGACTCATCTTGGTTACGACTCGTGGTACCCCCGGACGCAACGGATGTACCTGTCGCACGTGGTGACTCAAGTGGACGATTCACGACAACAGGGAACGAATCACCTGCTGCTGAGTTGTGAGAGGCACTTTCCGCGGCTGCACGCATTCGTGCAGCCGCCCTTCTTGCTGCTACAGTAGCAACTCGCTCGGTTTTCGAAAACATGCGTTGGATTGGCAAATGAATGGGATTTGACCAACAAGTGATCCCTTTCCCAGGGCGATCCAACGGTGGTCACCCTGCCCCGATCAATTCTAATTCAATCAACAGGTGACTAATGGTTAGGGGGGTGATGTAACAGGCTTGGCCGTTACATGATATTGACACCAAACGGTGTCAACAGGAATATTGTCTAGCATGACAATATTCTACCAATATTATCCGGGATAGATACTATTGAAGAAACATTATCCCTTTTTAGATAATAGTCATTCGCTGCTCCAGGATTGGTTGATATAAGACATATCAACCATAAATTACCACCAATCGCTGCTAGAAGCGCGCAATGAGCGGTGAGCAGGTTGTCGTCATACGACGGCGAAGTTTAATATAGTTAGATAAAGACTGAAATTATATTGATAGCTTAAATATATTAAATACAGTTCTCTTTTACCTTAACTTGATCGAGTCGTTCAAATAATTTAGCTTCCTCTGCACGTACTAGTGAACGTGAAGTCTCGCGGCACCCCAAACAATAGGGTGCCCCGTTACACTACTGCTACAGTAGCCGAAGCTACGGTCGAGCAGAAGCCTTTTCACATCGCAACGAAGAAATACCCGCTTCGCGATGAACCCACTTTCCGACCGATTATCTCAGATGAACAGACCGCGTTGACTACCTACGTGGAGTGCCGTCTTTACCTTTCAGGTCCGCCCACCTTTGTGGTATGCACCACAACAGATTTGAAGAGAGCCGCTACGTTGGCATATCACATTGAGGTCGAAGGGACGTTGATAGCTGAGATTCCGGCGAGTGTCCGGCTAGGCAAATTGCTCTACCGACGGTCTATTCTACGCGAGCTAAGTGCGGCTCATGCACGGACTGAGGACTACAGGACCAAGATGCGTCGTTTTGTTCAAGCAGCACAAAGGGTAGTCTGCGAAGGCAATCACGCTTTGTCTCTTGTCTTCATGTCTAAGCGTGCAGCCGCCGTTTGGGCCAACACGGAGCTTAAACTGCGTGATTGTACCATCACCTTGAGGTAGGCTGAAATCGACATCCCAGGAATACGAACGCTGCCACAGGTAGCGCGAGACAATATGATGTCAAATGGCTTGAGACTGAAGGGTTAGATTTAACATTACTGCATACCGTGTTCAGCCAGATTGCTGGAACTAGTATCTTGGATATACGACATCCTGGTATGTAAAGTCTTGCGGAACACGATAACGATACTGGATGGTGATCTTCCCCGAAATGGAGTTTCCCTCTACTCCTTAATGTCAATTAGCTAGTGATAGGTCGTAGAGTGATTTTGATCCACCATTTCCAGCGTGTCGCCACGGCCTCATGTAGCAATTGATAATACCTGACCATCTACGGGCGCGCTGTCGCGCCTCACACGATCGAATGGTATCCCTGTAAGCGAGCCTACAGCGCAAGTATGTAAAGGAGGTTATGTCAAATGTTTCCTCCTTATTTAACGCCTGTACAACGATTGTTGATCTGGACCGGATATATGGCACCACCACTTCCCCGACTGCTGTAACTGGAGTATCTGAAGTGACGCAGGTACCGGAGGTGTAACGGGGTTGCACGAAATTATGGTACTTTGTACAAGATGTGTTACACACCTGAGGGTACCCCTTGGTGAAGATGATAAAAAATATATTATTGGTTTGTAGGGGCTGAAGAGTGTCAGCCATTAGGTACGAAATATCTTTGAGTAGGATTAAGATACTCTATAGGCTTAACAAAAATAAAATCAGTTCCCATTTTGACCTAAAGGACACGTGGCTTGCGAGCCGTCTTGATCGTTGATCACTGATCACTAAGAGTTGGCAACACCTCCTTGAGGTAGCTATTCTTGAGCACTAGGTGCTGTCGATTCACTGAATCGTTAGGTCCCATGGAACAGGGATCTGAAGCTGTAAAGCTTGTCGACTCGTAAAGTCGTTAGTTCTTTGGAACTAAGTTGCTCGCAGAGCGTTAAGTCTTCCTCTGACTTAAGGAGCTGTGTAGCTCCACTACACTTGGTAGCGCTTGTAGTCAATCTACGCCTGAGTTTTTATGAACGATCCTCTGTGAGGATGGAAAACCCCACTCCCCTATCTGAGGCCCAAAGGTAGCGCTTGATAAGCTGACCGCATCTTTGGGTCCAGAGTACGTGGAGTTCCTTGTTTCACAAGGTCCTGAAGTGCTTAATGCACGTGTTGAAAGCTTCATGCAGTATGAAGCGACGCTTTTAGGGCAGGTCCAAGACCAAAAAAGCGTCGGCTATGCCCACACGCTATGTGTCTGTACCAGACGAAGAGGCTAGGCCTCGTCCACTTAGAGTGAAGGTGAAAAACTACTCCGGTAAGGAGGGTGAGAACCTCATCCTCTGGATCCGTGAGATTGAGATGGCCATGAGATCAGGCCTGATCACGCTTGGCCATCAACAGGTCTCGCTGGCTATCTTGAAGCTCGATGGATGAGCTAGAGAATGGGCCTTGAAGTGTAGCACGTCGGTGGACATAGCGTTTCCCACATGGGAGTCGCTCAAGTCACAATTAATACAGGTGTTCTCACCATCTAACCAGGCTTACCGCGTGCGTTCACGCTTTCTTTCTACCCGCCAGGGTAAGAATGAATTATCGGAATATGTCCAAGAGCTGCGAACGCTCATGGCTGCAATGCAGTCTGGCCCTCTGTCTGAGGCAGTCCATGTGACTATCCTTGCGGAAGGTCTACGTACTGGCATTGCCAGAACCGAGGTTTTTCGAGTTCACTCCTCTACTTTTGAAGAGGCTGTGAGACTTGCTCTTAATGCTGAGCATAACTTCAAGTCGTCCAGACTTGGTTGGAATGGATACAATCCTCGCTATGTGAGAGCAAAATCTTCGGGTACCACTATCTATATTAGGCCGGAGCCGATGGATCTCAGATATGCTGAAGATGAAGGTGAAGCTGAGCTTCAAGCTGCTGAGCAGCAACACGTCGTACGACGATGTTTTACGTGCGGTAAACACTAAACACTTGCGGCCTGGTTGACCTTTGCGTAAGCAACGCCAGGCTACGAGCCAACACTCGACCCCGAGTCAGAAGTCTGGCATGGCACGGGGAAATGCCGACACCCATCAGGCGCGGGGCGCCCTACTGGGGGAAGAACTAGGTTCTGTTACACCATTAGAAGTTAGAGGAAGGCAGGGCTTAGCCCCAAAGAGTACCATACCTACGGTTATAGTGCGTGGATAAAATTCTGGCTTGTTGGTCGCCGAGGCGAAAATTAAGGGCTTTGAGAAGCCTTGGTCGATATAGATCGGTTTTGAAGCGTCTTGAAATTATGCTCGACACCGTTCCCTTGAGGGAAGTCAGCGTTATGCTCATGCGCTGTAAGCGCATGAGGGTGATTCTATCACGGTACAATTAGCGACAGGAAGTCGCGTTACTGTGCCTAAATGTCCATTGAACTTAGGTATAAAGTTTTTAGACTTTTACAGTATTAAGCGCTGTCTTGTCCTAGATTTGGACTCGAGATATGATCTCATCCTAGGTATGGATTGGCTTGAACGCCATGAGCCATGGATTGATTAGAGGTCTAAGACCTTAGTCGCTACGCGCAATGTTCTTAGCGACGTTTTGGAAAGTCACGAACCCACCTTCGCTAGGCAACAGAAGCGCTATTGGCGCGAGCCTTTGGAAGAAAATGTCAATGTGCTGGATATTGGAATGTCTGAGTTATCTAACTCCAATGTTACAAACATAAGTTTCGAGCCTAGCTCGTCTAAAAATAGTGAAACGGCACGTACTCCGTTGAGTGTTACTCGTTGTGATAACTAGTCACTGCATGCTGAAAGCATGGTTTACTTAGGGCCTAGTGATCAAGGATGTGATTCCTTTGATGTGTTTGTGGTGGCACGTGCAAATACACCGAGTGCGGTCGGCCGTGATAGCACCGCACTTAATGTCGGTAATGAAATTGTTGGCGACACGCCATTTAGTGTGGGCGGCCGTGCAGGCACCACGCTTAACGTCGGTAATGACGATGTTGGCGATACGCCGTATAGTATGGGCGGCCGTGAGGGCACCACACCTAATGTCAGTAATATTATTGTTGGCGATACGCCATTTAGTGTGGGAGGCCGTGAAAGCACCACGCTTAACGTCGGTAATGGCGTTGTGGGCAATTCGCCATACAGTGTGGGCGGCCGTGAGGGCACCACAACCTATGTCAGTAAAAATATAGTTGGCGATACGCCATCTGGTGTGGGAGGCTGTGAGGGCACCACACCTAATGTCGGTAAATTTAACGGCGTCTCGCCAACAACGTTGGCGAGACGCCGTTAAACTTAGGCTAGATTCGCATAGTACACGTGGAGTGGCACGTTTAAATTCACTGGGTGAAGTGTTCGAGTTATGTAACACTTTACCGGATGTCGGTCAAGACATAAGCTCTCGTTTAGAGCGCGCTATGGTTGGTAGTAATCATTGGGGCAAAGTTGTCCCGACCCCTAAGGGGTGTAAGGTCTCGAAGAGAAATCGTGACGCCGGGTAGCAACTGTAAATGCCAGGCGTCCTCACAGTCACATAGTTATAATATTAATACACTATGTACACTTGTTAATGGAGTGACTGGTCAGGTTAATGGCAGTGTTTGCCTTGAAACCCTTCCATCTGTGGACGCTCTTTGTGAGCTAGACGAAACGTCTGATGGCGAGTTTATCCAGGCCTTTAAGGCAGGAGAGTTATCCGAGTTAGCGGTCATTAGACCTGATACTAAGTTATATTATTCCTCGTTAATCGATGAGTCTGTCCTAGAGGATACAAAGGCGGCACTTAGTGCACGAAGTGGATCTTCGATCATTAAAGATCCTTTGGATCCGTTCTATCCTTTAGTTCAGGAATGTCAAGATGTGGTGTGTCACAACCCACCTTCTGCCTTACCTCCCGATAGAGGTGTACGTCATGAAATTGACTTAGTTCCTGGAACTAAATACTGTGTAATACGGCAGTGGCCTTTGCCTAAAGAATAGTGTGACGTCATTGACGACTTCTTTCGTGCTAAGCACGCGGCTGGAATGGTTCGTGAGAGCAAGTCTCCCCATTCAACACCGACTTTTTGTGTCAAAAAGCCAAATGGCAAGTGGCGTATTGTGCATGCTTATAATAAGCTTAATGCAGCCACTATACCGGCGCAGACGCCTATTCCTAGAACGGATGTGCTTCAGAACAATTTGGCAGGATGTACATTGTACAGTGCACTCGACTTAGTCGATGGTTATTACCAACTGCTTATGCGAGCAAGTGATATTCCGCTAACAGCGGTGAGTACTCCGAGCGGTATGCTCTGGGAGTGGCTTGTTATGCCACAAGGCTATCTAACGCCCCGGCTACGTTTAACCGGCTGGTAACGCAACTATTCAGACCCCATCGAGGCTTTGCACAAACGTACTTTGATGACATTTTTGTCCATAGTCGTGCGATGAATGGGCGATCAGATGTGGATAACCACATTGATCATTTACGAGCTGTGCTCCAGTGCATGCGAATGAATAAGTTGTATGCTAACGCATCGAAGTGCATCTTTGGTGCAGAAGAGATTCCCTTTCTAGGGTGCTCCATTGGGAAGCGAGGCCTTCGAGCGGATCCCGCTAAGGTGAAAGCCATAGTCCATTGGCCGGCTCCCGAGAACCAAAAGGACTTGCGTAAGTGGCTTGGCCTAGCCAATTACTTACACAAGTACAGTGCGAAATACGCAGATATGGCTCGGCCATTGTCCAATCTCCTTAAAAAGGATGTGGATTGGTGTTGGGGTGATACCGAACATGATGCTTTTTAAACAGTTAAGGAGAGTATCCTTCACGCGCCAATATTGGCTTTGCCCGATTCTGGTCGGCCTTTCAGTGTCGTCTGTGACGCATCTGACTTTGCCATAGGCATTGCTCTGTTACAAACAGATGTCGATGGACGCGAACGCGTCATCACATTCGAGTCTCGGCAGTTGAAAGCTGCTGAAAAGAACTATCCTGTTCATGACAAAGAGCTACTTGCTATGAAGTACGCTCTTGTCAAATTCAGAGTACACATGCTTTGCTCCAAGCTGTTTGTGATTTATACAGATCATGCGTCATTACGCACTGCGACACAGTCGCCTCATCTCTCACAGAGAATGGCTCGTTGGCTTTCCTTCTTTGCCGAATATAACTTCGCGGTGAAGTACAAGCCAGGTAAGCAAAATGCTTTGGCTGATGCGCTATCGCGTCGACCTGACTATGAGCTTGCTCATGTTGCGACTCAGTCGTCGTCAGTCCCTGACTTAATCCGTGCGGCATATGCCGAGGATGATCAGTGTGTAGCTTACTACGTGCTCTTGGGAGCGATAAGTTTAAAGACTCGGACATAGAATTGTCGGCACGTTTACGTGCGAGGCTACATCGATATTCCATCGATAATGGCCTGTTGTGCGATCGCACGGATATTGAGGAAAAGCCTCGTATCGCTGTACCTCATGATGAGGAATTAAAGTATCGAATCCTCTCTGAGGCACATGATACTGCTTTAAGTGGTCATCTCGGTCGTGAAAAGACTTATAGCTCGGTGAGCCAAAGTGATTGGTGGCCCAAACCTTATAAGTGGGTGCGCACCTATGTGCGTACGTGAGAAACGTGTCAACGGGTTAAACCCTCGTCACATGCGGCGGCGCCGCTGGCTAGTTAGCCAGTACCCACTGGTTGTTAGGAGTCCATGAGCATGGATTTTGTGTTTGGCCAACCGAAAGATTCGGAAGGCAACACTGTTATTGTGGTCTTTGTTGACCGATTAAGCAAGATGGCTCACTTAGCGGCTGTACCGGATATCATCGATGCTGAAGGTACAGCAAAGCTGTCTATCGACCGTGTGTTTCGCCAACATGGCTTGCCGGTGGCAATTATCTCTGATAGAGACCCCCGCTTCACTGGGAAGTTTTGGAAGTCTATCTTCAAGGTGCTTGGCACTCGTTTAAACATGTCCACATGGGATCATCCGCAGACCGACGGTCAAACTGAGCCTTTTAACCGCGTCATCAACGACATTTTGCGCAGTATTTGCGCTGATACGCCTAGGCGTTGGAGCTCAATTCCCCCTTTTGTTGATTTTGCGTTGAATAACGCTGTTCATGCCTCAACAGGCTTTACTCCGTTCTACATAAACGGTCTCACTCACCCTCGCGTTCCGTTAACGCTATCACTACGTGAATCAGGGCTTGGTGGGGGAGAGGTTGCCGATCGGCTTGCTGATATCAGCCCTGCTACTGTTTAAACACAGGTAGGCGAGTTTCTCGCAACGCGATTAAATGTCTTAAGACATGTGCGTGACGCAATGGCTGATAGCCAAGATACCCAAAAACAACAAGCTGATGCCAAAGGCAGAAATTGTATTGAACGTTATGAGGTCGGAGACCAAGTACTACTCAATGCTAAAAATCTACCTACAAATGTAGTGTCTGCTGTCTTTAAGACAAAGTTGCGTCCACGCTTTATTGTACCGTTTACGGTCACTGCCAAGAAGGGACTTGCGTATACGCTAAACCTTCCGCGCAAATTGCGCACACATCCAGTGTTCTACGTAGGCTTACTTTAGTCGTACCGGGACACTTCCCATGTGAACTTGTAGGCGCTTGCGCCGACGACAAGGGCACTGCCCCGGATTGCTGTAGACGATTCAGCAAGTCCGACTGAGCCTCGCTCCGAGTTTAAGCTTGCTCCATCGCCTGAAGGCGGCTTTGCATCGCATCTAGCATGCACTGGCACTTATTCAAGGCCTCTTGAAGACCCTTCACTTCGATAACCAATTTCTCGTGTCCACCGGTACACCGGCCGCCACCGACTTTGCTCGATGAGCATGGGTGTCGTCAATTTCATGTCGAGAGACTACTGAAACGACGTCGTCGTCAGGGCCAAAAAGAGTATCTGGTAAAGTGGCGTGGGTACCCTGAGTCTGAAAACTCATGGGGGTTTTGAGGTATTCCTTCGGCAAGACTGCCCATATGCTTTGGAGGCTTTGAGCATCGTGGCCATGGTCATCTCTAGACCGAGGCCGTTCCCCACCACTAGTGGTGCGGGTTGGCGGGTTGTTGGCCACAGACTGACCAGCACTCGCAGCTACCTTAGTAGCCGAAGCATAGCGCGTGCGCTTGCGCAATTGGCCTCTGGCCTTAAGCTCGGCATAATCATACCGAAGCTTGCGTTCGAGACGCACATCAGCCGCATGGGCACTAGCACTTAGAGCAAAAATGTTGCTGAAGCGACGCACATAGTGCACCCAGTGAACGAAGGCATCATCTTCTTCGCTCACTGTTTCGCCTGCGAGCAAGAGAATGGGTATACCCTTGATCGGTGGAACCGTTGCACCACGTGCTTACATGTCAAGGCGTGCCTTGTATTGACTTTGAGTCGTTAGGTGCGGCTCCAGGTACCTCTCACGAAGTGCCTGGCAGCTCACCACCTCCTCAGGAGTCTTAGGACCATGGCCAATGATCCACGTTGCCACTGTTTGGCCGACCGCGTTACGTAGACGTTCCTCCACACTGGGTGGAGTGAACACATAGTCACGCTGGCGTTCAAGGGTTGCAGCCATTTGTACTTAACGCTGAGCGTTTTCTTCTTGTTGGACAAGCAGTTGTTGTTGCTCATCGAGCGAATTTGTGATGATAATTTCATCAGAAACAGATGCTGAATGCTGCGCTGGTGGCGCGCTCGCATCTCCACGTTCAGCGAACGGATCTGGGGTGCTCGAAGGTTGTGCCACAGGCATCAGTGAGCCGGACATTGTCCCTGTATCACCGCGGACACTGGTATCACTACTATAGTCCACCTCCTCCTCTATTCCGAGGTATTCACACAGAGCCTTTGACTCGTTTGGTGGTGAGGACATCGTGCTAGAGCGTACGTTACCGCGAGGTTTACCGTACGCGCACTGTTCTCGCTTAGGAACACACATTCGATTGACGTTTTAATAAACGTCAGTCTGGTGGGGGAGGGTGTAACGGGGTTGCACGAAATTATGGTACTTTGTACCAGAGGTGTTACACACCTGAGGGTACCCCTTGGTGAAGGTGATAAAGAAATATCTTATTGATTTGTAGGGGCTGACGAGTGTCAGCCATTAGGTACGAAAGATCTTTGAGTAGGATTAAGATATTCTGTAGGCTTTAACAAAAAAATAAAATCAGTTCCCATTTTGATCTGAAGGACACGTGGCTTGCGAGCCGTCTTGATCGTTGATCACTGATCACTAAGAGTTGGCAACACCTCCTTGAGGTAGCTATTCTTGAGCACTAGGTGCTGTCGATTCACTGAATCGTTAGGTCCCCTGGAACATGGAACATGGATTTGAAGCTGTAAAGCTTGTTGACTCGTAAAGTCGTTAGTTCTTTGGAACTAAGTTGCTCGTAGAGCGTTAAGTCTACCTCTGACTTAAGGAGCTGTGTAGCTCCACTACAGGAGGCCATTCCAGTTCCTGTTAAAGATAACAGAGACTAACCTCAAATTGACGGATGCTCGCGACATCGTGGTGCTGCAACGGATGCGACCGGATGGTCTGTCGTAAGACGGACACAGCGCCGATAGGGCTAAAATCGCGATTCTGACAGACGTGGTCCTGTTGCGGCACACACCAGCGGAACAGTGAGACCGAGTCGAAGAGTGCTTCCACAGCGAGGTCGGGCAACACCCTCTCAGAGGATCCAGGATGCATCCGCGCGCCAACACGATCAGTATCTTCGGGTAAGAGATAATCTAGAAACCGTTACTCCTAATTCGGGCTCACGTCTCATCTCTACGTGCTTGAATCCCAGAGAGTGCAGCAAGTGTCGTTAGAGCTCGTGGAGAGCTCTGACGACGATGATGATTATACAGACGACCGCTTACCTTCCCTCCTTAAGCCTCAGATGAATTAAAGTGAGGCACAGCTAACAACCAGAGATGACGTTGAAGAGGACGTGTATATAGACGCCACTTTAACCTCGGTCTCGTTCCCAGACCGCGAAGATTATCTCCGATCGGTTGAAGTAGAACTATCTGCGACTTAGAGGTAGTCTAAGGACAAGCGCAGCATCTCGTTAGAAGCACATTCCTCCCACGATCCTTTCTGACCCCCTGTCCAGTCCACAACGGACTCTAGAATTGAGGTGGCTGATATTGAGATGGAGACACCTGCTCCAACGATACATGGAGATATTAGCCTGGTGTCACGATAGCAAATGATATAGGCGTGAAACGAGATCACGGAGAGTCTTCCGGCCTGATGTTGGATTGGATTGGAAGCTTGCATGGATTGAAGGTTGACGTTCCTTCTAATGGACAGAGCGTCTACTATGCATTTCCCCCCCACAAAATTTTAAGCTTCTACGCTTTATCATACGGCGTCCCATACGAGGGATATCAATGCCACCAAGCAGTAGGTTACGGATCTCATATTGGCAAATGTGCGGTATGATGTGCAATTAATGCCGATCGACCCCGCACATGAATTGAAACGCCTGTACCCGACTTCCACGCCCCCGGTTTCTGTAGAGGCGGCGACCGCTGCACTATATGCTCATTATGCGGCCTCGAGGGACCGATGTGCAAGAAAGGCGTCCCCAATTGCTTTCTAAGGTGAGACTATTATTCTTCATTCTCTTGCTATGCATTTGAGGGAGCCGATAATTGTCTAGAAAGTGGATGAGACTGGCAACGCCCACGCGCGACAGTTTTTAGTTTCAGACATTCGCAATGCCCAATAAGGACGACGACAAAACGGGAATTGTGCAGTTACTTGACGGTGAGCGCGTTCGTGTTATACTCGAGGCTTATATGATGACAAGGTCATTCCTGTCATGCTTGTATTGAAATACACACAGAGGAAATTCGATGGTGTGCAACATGGCGACATTTGTCATGCTTGGAACGCGCTACAGGAGCCTAATTTGAGTGAGAGATTGGATTTAGTGCATCAACAGGTCGGATTAACTGGATTAGACTCTACTACCCATGACGAGGATTCGTTGGCTGATATTGCCCGGGCGGAGAAGGCTGCTATCTTGGAGGATTTGGGCCTTGACGTGTATGCCAGTTGATCTCATGTTACAAACGTGGAGACAACTGAAGGTGACTTGAGTGTTAAGAGATACGCGGCAGACCCGGCCCAGCCCCTGCACCCGGCCGTATATGAGCGGGTTCTGCAAACCCCTGACCCTGACCAGCTGTCTATATTTGATCGCCGCCAAGCTGATAGGCTGACCAAGGCGAACCATGCGGCCTTTACCACCTGGTTGTTACCTATGGACCGACCTCTGATGTGCCACCACACGATCCTGGTAGTGACACTTGGAACAATAATCATTACTGTATACTAGGACACGTGCAGGCACTAAGGCATGTACTACGTTTCTTGCCGTTCCCGGAGATGGCTGTTCAAGCGGGTCCCGCTGATCGGCTTTTGGCGTGGGGGGAACGCGAAGTGTACCCGCACCGACTAGCCACGCTCCGACGTATCGCTGATGACTACGACAGCGATGTCAGGGGCCGCGCTCACTGCCTAAAGAGGCTTGTTGAGTGCTCGACGGCTCAATCGGTCGAAGCGTATGATCCAGCGATATCTCACGACCGTCGAGTCGACATAGAGTGCTACGTCGACTCTTCACCCCTCCGCCCCAACCCGACTGGTGTACCGGTCAACCGCTGGTATCTTATTCATATCCTACCGTTTGCTATCAAGGATCGGAAGGACACCCTCATGTTTCAGGATCCTGGATAACGAGATCAATCTGGTATTCACACTTTCCTACAAAGGTAGAGCTGTGCCATGCGATCACGACTTCTTCCAATTTAAGCAAGGTAATGAAGCTTCCGCTTAGAGCGGCCACGTGTATCTCGACTCAGGAGTTAGCGTCTGCGTTAGCCTCGGATGCTCCTCCTGTGCCGTTTAGATAAACGAGTCCCAGCTGAAATGCGTCAGGAATGGAGTGAGCAACCGTCCTTGCTTGTCTTTTACCCGGTCCTTCCTTAACAGGACCGGATGCACTCCCTTCGATCCAATTTTGACATTTCCGCGCTGATCGGATAGCAGATTGGCGTCGTCGTGAACGTGAGGACGTTAAACCCGTTCGCGCTCGCCGATAAATGAAGATTCTGCACCCGGCAGACCGGAACATGGCCCTGCAAACTCAAAATGCAAGATATTTTGGGGGATTCGAGCAAACCCGGACCGACTGGTTCGCATCCCTCAAACGACAGCACCATAGGGGACACTTTGACGCGGTTTTGTCCAAGAAACCCATGTTTAAGCCTACGAAATCAACGAGATGGTTCGATATTATGCGACACAATGGGGTTATTGAACAGGTGTTCACTGACCGACGTTGCCTCACTCTTCTTCCTCCGACGGTAGGCGTGGCGGGGTTGGGATTCTCATTCACCCACGCTCGCGTTTTCAGACCCTGGTACCTTTCGCAATATCTCATTGGTCACAGCATTTCATGGCGATTGAGGGCAATTACGATGGACAAGCAGTGATTCTTGTCCATCGTAATTGCACCGACGGACAAGACGACCCGGGAGCTCTACCTAACCGGATTGCTGGACATTTGATTCCCCAGAGGACTCACCTATACGTCGGTGAAAATTTTAACCCCACTCTCCACCCTTAACTTGATCGCAGCTACCTTAGTAGTCTCACGAGCCATGACTCGCCGGCACCCAGGCTTTTGCTGGAACACTGGTTGCTTACTGACTCACCCTTCACGCTATGCCCCGAATACAGGATAAAGAGATATGCACCAGCACCGCACTGAATATTATACTTATGGTTCTACGGTGCTGGGACATGACAGAGCTTCTAACAAGCTAGACCGTTTTTAAGTGAATGATACTGCCCATTTCTGGGCACTATCTACGGAACTTGACAGATACGGGCTCACTAGAGACCACAAAGGAGTCATACTTCATCTCCGAGACCCCACAAACCCAGTGAGATTCAAAAAGGAAGCGAGAGTGTTCCCCGTCCGTCCGTATGCTCAGACACGGGTAGACAAATACGTCCGGACTCAACTACTTCTGCTCTCCTCCACCTTGATCCATCCCATTATGGCGGCACCATAGGCGGCCACTCAATGATTCTCCTTTAAAAAATTTATGCTTAAGGGCATTCTATCCTGCCGACGCGAGGCGTAGAAAAGTCTAGCAAATACGTATCACAAATTGATACGACGACTCGATCAACGTTATAATCGCGTTAAGGACTTGCTTGCCGCGTTGGACTCGAGAGGGCGACCTGATATCCTCTAATTGATCATCAGGTCGGTATTCTAGAGCTAGAGAGGGTAATAGCGAACACTAACCGGAACTGACTTCGATCTAAGCAGTGCCGGCTGTTTCGGCAACATACCTGGCGCAGGGGACAGACTACTAAGAATTTTTCAGCTTATTTTGTGTAAGTTCGGAGATAATGTCATCCCCGTTCGTCAACCGGTGGCTGACGAACATTCGTGCGATGAGCTCGACAAGGCAAACATACTCGCGTGCGCGTGAATCCCAATTCTTAACGGGCTGACGGCAGCCGCCCCGCCGGCATCCATTACATACTGGATATCTCAAGGTCCCTCGGACGACCTCAACTGTCTGGAGATGAATAATCTATTTACCACGTCGACGGTGACAACGGCCATCAAGTCTCTTCAAACAGGAAAGGCGTGCGGGCCTGATCGCCTCGGCAACTACTGGTATATCTAGTACTCCAATCTTCTGATTCCGTTGCTTCTACAAATGTTTTTTGTGGTATAACGCCGAAATACTCCCTGACTCTTTTCTGGAGACGGACATATTCTGCCTATCAAAAAGGCAGAAGAAGGTAGTGACCCTGTCAATTACCGCCCCTTCTCACTGCTTAACTTGGATTACAAATTGATGACGTGGATCATTGCGATTAAGTAAAGGGGTACCCTGCACCGGCGGATCCACTCGCTCCAACAAAAAAATCTTTACCGACCAGGATCATTCACTCGGTTATCGACTACTTACACGCAGCCCAAGACTTCGTCTGCCACAAGTAACAGTTTCGTAATGCGGCAGTCCTATTATTGGATTTTGCGAAAGCGTATGATACGTTGGACCGGCATTCATCTTGCGGCTCTAAGGCAACACATTTACCCTAGCCATTTGTGGATGTCATCTAGTCCCTTTAATACGAAGCATCCGGATTCTTTCTAGCTAACGGGTATCGCTCGCGCAAGGTGCCGGTTACCAGAGGTATGCGCCAAGGGTGCCCACTGGCTCCTCTCCTCTTTATCTTGGCAACATAGCCACTCTACCAAAAGCTGGATGACCGGACAGGTTTCGAGAGCATTCTGATACAGTCTGATACAAACAAGACCACTTCAAAAGTAGCAGGGTATGCGGATGATACGGCCACCTATGTCTAGGCGCCAGCCGAGATTTCGAAGGCTCTAGCTAAAATTGCCCAGTTTGGCGATGCCTCGGGTCTTCGGCTCAACATTTTTAAGACTTTGGCGATTGATTTGCACCCAGAAGGATTGCTGTCAGACACTTTGTGGCCGTTGACGATATTTCATTAGGTGCAACGGTTTTCGCGCGCTATCTTGGCCTTCAGGTAGGAGCAGAGGAGGAGCTGACCACTCTTGGGCTCTTGCTGCAACTCAAATTCGGTCGAGGCTTCGATTAGCAAGCCATAAGACACTTACCGTGGCAAGACTAGCCACAGTGGCGAAGGCGATCATCACTCCCAAGCTACTTTACATGTTACGACATGCGTGGCCGTTCAACGCAACTGTCAATCTTTTTACCAAATTTATTTAAGCTTACGTTTGGCACGGATATTTTGGTAACCTCGATAGTCGCTGTTCAACCTGGCTTAATGAGCGTGTTGCCGGCCTACCCAGCAAGAAAGGGGCTAGATATACCCCAATTAAGGCCAAATTACTTGCTATGGCTCCAATCACCGTGGAAACCTGGAGCTCTACCGCGAGGGGTACGGATTTACTCATTGGGGAAATTTTGATGGCCTTGCATAAACCTCCACACTCAAACTCCACCCGCTATACGCTTGGATACACGACCCGTCTTTTTTCGGGTTCTCGGGCTGCTCACACGGTGTGGACAGCTGGGAGATGCCTGATGAACGATCATGGTCTCCCACACCCGACACCCTAGCGCGTGACCGTTGTAGCACAGTTTGTGGCCCTTGTGGATGCGGCTCTTCCATTGTGTCTTCGGTGGGAACACGACACCTGCTCACTCGACACTTCGTCGCTTCTTGGTGCCCACCTTGCACGCGTCTGTAAGTTCATCGAGCATCTTGCAAACTGATGGTGGAGCAATGGTTGCCTTTACTACACCTTCGTTCTGTGTGGCTTCTCGATGAGAGCGGATACCCATTGCAAGACTCGAAAAACTAGATCCAGGAACTTTCTTCAGACCCTGTAGGCAGCTTTATCTACTGGGCATCGAGTTCTGGGTCGTCCCTCTTCTTCACAGTACGACAACTTAAGCCAAAATCTCGTTAAAGACCTTTTCTGGTTGCGTTGGATACCAACTCCCAGAGATTCTAATTGCACGGGGGCCCGAGACCTTAATCCCGATCGTGACAGTGCCTTCTGACACATCCTTTGACGTGTGACTCGGCCCGGAGAGAAGAGACGTCGGGGTGTCCGTTTAATATTTCGACTGACGGCACAAATGTCGCTCACAACATTTTTGCCTCTTCGTGGGACGAGGCACTGTTCATTTTTCGACAGTGGACTGGGGGGACCTATCACGTCTAGAAATCGGGTCCTCATCTGGCCTAACATAGAGAGGTGGAGGCTAGAATACCGCTAGGACACTTAACGCGTTCAGAGCCCATTATGAACAGGCGGCCTTAGCTCATGTCAGGAGGATCGGGCTGCAGGAGGTCAAACAACGGCAAGTGGCCTGGTCAAGTGATAGTATACGGTTGGGGGAGGCACTGAACATCGTCTCGTGGGCGAGAATTTGACGCATTACTGGTGGCACTGTTTGGGCAGAATAAGTTTGGCAATGTTTCAAGCTAAGAGCCACTTCCTTCAGGGGTTTGCTCATACAGATGACGGGGTGCCTCTAACCGGAGTGCCTACACACATCCATGACCTACTCGCACCAATGGTGGAACTTTACAGCAGCGCATACTCTATGGCGGGTCTTTGCAGAACCATGGGGGCGGCTAGGCTTAGAGGACCCGTTCGAGGACTCACATGCCATATTCAGCACTAGTTTATCTAATACCCCGGGGAATTTGGAACTACGCGAGGCGCTAACATGGTAACTTACCATCGAATCGGAGGCAAAGAATACATAGTTGGTGTTTAGCTATATTAGAGGACTATTGGGTTATTGGTGTAACGCACACCCTGCAAGTTGTATGGGCTCATGGCTGCAGATGCAGGGATGGTGCCCTGGACAACTCTTCCTTGTTGGCGAAGGAAATGCTTTTGGACCGTTTACGACATGAATACCTGAAACTACGTGACCTTACCATGGAGACAACTTCTCATATCGATATCCAAGCGGCGACTGATGTGACTTCCACAGCATTCGAGGACACTGTGACAGATGATGTGCCACGAATGTCTCCGCCAGCCGAGGACAGCTCCGATGTGCTCTTCTTTAGTGTTGGGTCTCGTGGCAATCCCTGCTCGGGTAATGCAAGCACTGTTATACTCACGAACTATACGTCTTTAGACTCGGCCGGAGTGCGTTGGATGTGTAGCGTATTCCTCGCAGCCACCACTACAACAAACTATGCGGCAGAATACAAGTCCCTCCTTTTTGGGCTTCTCAAGGCACTGAGGTATGATCTCCAAGGACTACACGTCGTTGGAGACAGCGTACTGATATTAGTACCACTACGGCGCAGGAGGCCGCCACAGGCTAAATAACTCCAAGACCTGTGCAGGCAATGCTGATTGTCGGGGGACCGGTTGGGCGTGGCCACGTGGAATTATCACCTTCGACAATTTAACAAGATGGCAGACGCCCTGGATAATACCGCGATAGACTCAGGACGTAGCATCCAGGTTCTCGGTCCTGAAGTGGCAACGCTGCCACCCAAGTGGGCGGTTGTGACAAGCTTATTATGTAACGGAGCACCCTTTGTCTGGATGCTACGAAACTTCACGTTCACTAGTACGTGCAGAGGAAGCTAAATTATTTGAACGACTCGATCAAGTAAAGGTAAAAGAGAACTGTATTTAATATAGTTAAGCTATCAATATAATTTCAGTCTTTATCTAACTATATTAAACTACGCCGTCGTATGACGACAACCTGCTCACCGCTCATTGCGCGCTTCTAGCAGCGATTGGTGGTAATTTATGGTTGATATGTCTTATATCAACCAATCCTGGAGCAGCGAATGACTATTATCTAAAAAGGGATAATGTTTCTTCAATAGTATCTATCCCGGATAATATTGGTAGAATATTGTCATGCTAGACAATATTCCTGTTGACACCGTTTGGTGTCAATATCATGTAACGGCCAAGCCTGTTACATCACCCCCCTAACCATTAGTCACCTGTTGATTGAATTAGAATTGATCGGGGCAGGGTGACCACCGTTGGATCGCCCTGGGAAAGGGATCACTTGTTGGTCAAATCCCATTCATTTGCCAATCCAACGCATGTTTTCGAAAACCGAGCGAGTTGCTACTGTAGCAGCAAGAAGGGCGGCTGCACGAATGCGTGCAGCCGCGGAAAGTGCCTCTCACAACTCAGCAGCAGGTGATTCGTTCCCTGTTGTCGTGAATCGTCCACTTGAGTCACCACGTGCGACAGGTACATCCGTTGCGTCCGGGGGTACCACGAGTCGTAACCAAGATGAGTCTGAAATAGAGCTCATCTATTCTGGAGAGTCGGATGATGTATCCGACTCGAAGGCAACACTTCACGCCTCCTGGTCACCCGGGGCGGACAATGCAAGAGCCAGGCTGACTGGCTCTGGTAAACGTGGCAAATTCGTGACCGAGATCTTCGGATCGAGTGATTACTCCGATGAGTCTCCGCACCACGCAGGTCCATCCAACGATAGGATGCGTGGGGATGTCGATGATGCACCTATTCATTACCACGAGCGAATTAACTTGAGGTATCGAGGTATCACTGGTGTCAGTGCTAACGCTGGCACCAATCAAGAGGCCAGGGACCGAAATGTCCTGCGCCACGCTCCTCAAGTGGAGTCTCCGTGGATGCCGCCATCCAGAGAGTAGGACCGGTTGGCCGGCACGACTACCGAACGGGATCGAATCCCGTTGTTCGATTGCAGGAATATTTGCCCACCTGATTCCAGCACGGAACAATCCGTGCTGAGGAAGAAAGAAGACTTCACCGATGCGTTCTTTAAACATCGGTGGTACAATGGTAGCCGTGTACGAGACGGCAAAGCCTTGATGCAAGGATGGAATGCCCTCATCAATAACATCGAGTGCATTGTCCGTGAGGCTTGGCTCGCCAAACTTGATGTAGCTCGCATCAGGTTTGAAAAGCGTACTTCAGCCGGTGTGCAATGCAAGCTGCACCGGCTTTCAAGGGAGGCAAGATTACCCTGTCTCTTGTGGGGTGATTCGTGTCCAGGTTGCCTGGACAATTCGAACCGTGCCCCTAGGGAGGCCTACCTCCCTAATGATCCCTACTGGAGGGCGCGCATCTCTTCTGAGATGACCAAAAGGAGTGACACCTTGCAATCCCTGTACTCGCGTTCGGGGAGGTCGTTTTCCGACGGCCCTCCTTCAAACGCAGCGGGTGGGTCTCGTCGTACTGCTCGACGAGACCAAGGACATCAACAATCAGCTGGGCACGAGGCTCCCAGCTGTACCACGCCGGTGGATAGCCACGCCAGCAACGAGGTAACTCGTCTGGACGCCATTCACATCGCGGTGGTTCAAAATGCGCTCCACTAGGAAGCGTTGACCACCGCTTGAGTCCGCCAAAGGATGTGGTGGCGGCGGGAACACCTGGTCCGGCTCGAGGGTCGAATCAATTGATGTTTAAGAGCTGAACCGTGTAACGGAACAGTTGCAAGATGACCTGGCTCATGAACGATATCGGCGTCATGGGCTTGAGGATCTTGTAAGAGATGATTACAATTCCTTAGCGCACGATCGTTCGGACGATCGTGCCGCTTTTGCGTTCGCGCAACTTAAAAACGAACTTTCGACTCGTTCTCTTCGTGACGAGCTGGCTGTAGCTCGTCGAGGCATCGCTGAAGTGCGTAAACAGGTCGCTTTGCTAGTCGGTCAGACTGGCTCGTTGAAACGGGACCAATTGAAGGTGGTCATGGCTCTCGACCGCGGAGGTGCTCTTCGCATCTCGAAACGGATCGTACTGATAGTACGGGCGGAGACGTCCAAAGTAGAACGTAGGATGCGTACGCATCTTACGGGGCAGTTCAATCGCGTATGCGTTGCTCATTCGGCGCAACGGACGAAATGGACCGATGTACCTGGGCAGTAATTTACTGCTGCCCACGTTTGTCACTGCGTGCTTCGGTAAGTTTACTGTAGACAGTAAAACTAGGTCTCCTTCATAAATGAAAGAACGTTTGATATTCCTTGTTTGTCTGCGTTTCATTTCTGTCTGTCCAGTACATCTGCAATAGAGTCTTCTTGAACGAAGCGGACAACCGCTTCGCGAGCCAGCAGAAATTCTTCTGCTGATTCGTCTTTGTTAACAGCTGTGCGCTTCGTGTGCACTGCTGAAAGAACGTTGTCTTCACCAGTGAGGGCGTTATCGCCCTCAATGTGGCAGTCATTGTCGATGCTGAGCATCGTCTTTATCGTCATCATCGACATCGATCCCACCGACATCGGCATCCATCACGTCGACACCATTATCGACGGGTGATGAGCAAGAATCAGATCTGTTTTGTTCGAGCGAGTCCAACCTTCCCTTGAGCTAGAGTCACACTCTAAAAGGCGGGATAACGTGGATGGCATAGGCCATTCACGAAGAATGGTGTATGCGTTGTCGAGGCATGCACCGAGTTGTTGATGCAAATACCGCCATCGACAAGAACTCACTCCAACTCGTAAACGAGTGCACACACCCTCGAAGTACCTCTTCGAGGAAGCGGTTGACGCGTTCCGTCTGACCATCTGTTTCGGGATGGTAAGAAGTTGACATCTTCGAACGCGTTCCAAGTGAACGGAGCATAAATTGCCAGAACTCTGCCGTAAAGTGGGGGCCCCTGACAGCCACGAGTTTACGGGGTAACCCGTGACGTCGGAAGATAGTATCGATAAGGACACACGCACAGCCCTGGGCTGTGATTGACTCCGGTACAGCAACAAGATGTACCATCTTGCTGAAACTGATCAACAAACACAAGAAATACCAGTATTCATGTGAACGTCTTTGGGAAACCCGAAGACGAAGTCCATCGATACGGACTGCCAACACTCTGCCGGAATCGGAAGAAGCTGTAAGGGTGAGCGGGGTAAAGATTGGGCTTCACCCGTTGACAAACTTTGCAAGCGCGAATGTGTTTTCGCACAAACTCATACTGGTGGGGCCAGTAGAAGTCACGACTCACCGTGAGGTAAGTCTTTTCTCTGCCGCGATGACCACTTGTTGGAACATCATGACGCTCATACATGATGCGCAATCGCAAATCATTATGAGCCGGAGAGACGACACGAGGTGTGTCGCCGTTGACTGCTGTATAGTACAGCAGTCCATCACGAATAGAGTACCGTTCGGTTGAAGAGCGGTATTGAGACGACAAGCTTTTCAAAGCTTGATTATATGGATTGGAGACGTTATCCATAAACCGCAGAAGAGACTCATCTTCTGTGTATGCTTTTCGCACGTCATCGAGCAGATTCGACGACGGAACACTCACCGTTAGTATTGCTACAGTGGGATCACCCCTGCTGTTGGGTTGAGCAGTCGGCTCGAAATGGGCCGACGCGAAAGAGAATCAGCGACGACATTAAGTCTTCCTGGTTTATACTTGACGGAGAAGTTTCACTCCGCGAAGAAAGACAGCCACCTCGCCATTCTTTGCAAGAGGTGTGGGCTGTTTACGGCCGTGCGTAACGACGCATGGTCGGTATAAACGATGAAGGGCCTATCTCCTAAGAGATATACCCGAAACTTGGCCAGTGCATATTTCATGGCAAGGAGTCCCTTGTCATGAACCGGATTATTTTGCTCAGAGGCTTGCAGCTGACACGATTGATGACAGACGACGCGCTCAACGCCGTCTGAGTCGTACTGCATTAACGCGCAGCCGATTGCAAAATCGCTGGCGTCACAGACCACATGAAATGGCCTATTTTGATCTGCAATCGCCAACGTAGGCGATTGCACCAAGCTTTTCTCGATGCCTTCAAAAGAGTGCTGACACTCAGCGCTCCATGACCACCTCTCGTTTTTCTTTAATAGACGAGAGAGATGCACAGTCATCTCGGCATATCTGCGCGAGTATTTGTGCAAATACGCTGCCAAGCCAAGGAACTTTCGAAGTCCCTTGACGTCGACTGGCACAGGCTAGTCGCTAATCACCTTGATATTTTCCGGATCAGGGCGTACACCGTTTTTCCCACGATGCAGCCAAGAATTGGTATTTCGTTCGCTGCGAATATACACTTCTTGGTTCGAGAACAACTTATGCTCTCACATTAGCGTAAGAACCTTCCGGACGTGGATTCTATGAACCTCCACGTCCGTCTTTCCATCCATAGCCCGGCTATGGACGAAGATATCATTGATGTAACTCGGTGCAAAGTCGCGCACCGATCGCAACAGATTCGTAACACATCTGTTAAACGTTGGGGGGGGGCGTTACTTAGCCCCCGTGGCATTACTAGCCACTCCCAGAGCATACCACTGGTGGTGCTCACTGCTGTGTAAGGGATATTCCTGTTCACGCATGAGGATCTGATAGAATCCATCCATCAAATCCATGGACGAAAAGGTGGTACCTTTTTTCCATACCATCGATGATGACATCCTTTCTTGGGATCGGCGTTTGAGCCGGTACCGTTGCAGCATTCAATTTGTTGATCGCGTGCACTATCCGGCACCCTCCTATGGCCTTTCGCACACAGAAGGTCGGCGAGCTGTGTGGGGGTGTTGACTCCCTCACATGACCAGCCGCTAAACGATTGGCAAAGAATTTGTCGATCGCTGTTACCTGTTCACGAGGCAGTGGTCACTGCTTCATGACACAGTATTCTGAACCAGGTTTCAGTTCGATCTCATGCCGAATGCCTATGGCTTTGGCTGCTTGTATGGCACGGATTCCGGGAAAACATCCCTGAATTCCACCAAATCCTTATACAAAGGATTTGTCTTCAAAGACTCCCAAGATTGAGACGTGTATCGCTCAATCCGGGTCTTCTCATCGAGGACACTCTCGTCCATAGATGAACTACTGAGAACCTGTTCGTTCTTAGCACACACTTGTGCCGACCGAATATCGGTGACGTACTCGTCCTCTTTGAAGAGTACGCCGATCTGCTTGATCTTGTCACTACGCAGATCTCGCAAGAATCTTGAGATTCTAGCGTTGGCAACTTGACCACCTCCGAAGCTGACTTCGGGGGCGTCACCGGATCAAGTGTATAAGCGCCTAAACTTGATCTGTCATTCACCAAGACATTAACTGAATCGGTGATTTCCTGGGAAATCACATCCGCAGGTGGTCGGGGATCCACACCCTCAACACAACTCTCTCGGGATTGATCACTCTCAGAAACGCCGGGATTTTCTTCCGTTACGGTTACTATCTCGGTCACGTCCTCTTCGATCGACTCTCTTTCAGTCGATCGGTCTTGCTCTACGATCTACTCTCTGATACTCGATCTGGCTTCAACGTGTTGTTCATCCTGAACAACTCTAGTCTCTCTTCTCGGATGCACCAATCTTGGAGTGCATCTATATGACAATCCACTCGATCTTTTATAGTTGTGAACATTCGGCGCAGCCTGTGTCTCTACACAGGTGCCGGAAGCTGGTTCCACAGTGCAGTAGCCTTCTACACTGTGATCTTGTGCAACCGTACTAACGACCTTACCACAAGTGAAGCCATCGCACTCACTCGTAGTAAATCCACACGCTTGTGGACGCTCCAAAACGTTCATCAGATGGCCATCCGATGAGCAAACGGCAGGCATCTTCACGGATAGATGCTGCCAGCTAACCCATGGCCGGTATTTCTAAGCCACGGCAGACCAAGGATGCCATCAAATTTGTCATCCAAATCTAATACGATAAAGTCATCATCGTACTGCTTTCCTTCTAGCGTCTAGTGGATTCCCACTACACGTTTGTTCACTGTTACGGATGCGCCTGTAGCAAGGTACACCGTCATCCTCGTTGGAGGGAACTCTCGCTCAACATAGTTGAAACTACTATACCTTAGCGACTGGTGTCGGATGAAACTGTTCGACGCACCACAGTCAACTAGGGCGCAAAGCGACATTCCACTTGTCACTTCGATCTTCAAAGTGATGAGAGACTCCTCATCAATAAGGGTAGTAACACGCAGAGACTGCGTGTTGGGAGAAATCTTCGTCAAGAGTCCTGCAAATTCTATTGACGTTGCTGAATCAGCAAAGTGCTCCGCCCCTACTGACCCTGACCGTTTTTTTGACGTTCCGAGTTGCTGTCGCGGCTTGGCGACATGGTCAGACCCATGCCTCGGACCCTTCCTTGGCCAACGGCGGTCATCACGTCCTGTTTTTGGACGTGTCGCAGTGCTCGGAACACTACACCCATGAGCGTAGTGCCCAATCTTCTATCAGCGATGACATCTTGCCGTTCGCTTGGTGACTCAGAAAGCGAGAGTTCTCGCTCTCGATATAACAGAGGTCCATTGGTTCGGGACCTCCTCTTTCCTGTCGCCTCGTCGGACGATAGTTTAAGGAGTTAGCCTGAGACCGTCTCAGGCTGAAGTCTTCTTGTTCCGCATACGCTATCGCCTTTTCCGGCGTATGGAAGTCCTCTCGGAACACGTAGGTCTTCACCGGCCCATCCACAAGGCCGTAGATTAACACATTGATGAGCGTATGCTCATCAACATGGTTCTCCGTAACGCTTTTCGCAAGGTAGCGCAGGTGCTGTGCGTAAGCGTGCACGTCACGCTTACCTTGCTTTAGCCTCAAGAGTGCAGAGCGTGCCCTGGACTCGGCTCTCGGCGGCTCAAACGTCTCTTTAAGCCGAGATTTCAAGATCCCCAACGACTCAAACACGTTTGGGTCGTGAAGCTTGAGTCCTAAGGGCCAAGTCTTTGCTTGTCCCGTCAAATTTGACAGGGCGAAGGTGACTTGCATCTCGTCACCTTCGATGTGACGTGTCCTGATGTCGTCGTCTAACTCGACGAACCATCTCAAAAGGGAATATTCATCGGTTCCCTTGTACCTTGAGATATCAATCTTCAAGGTTTTGGTTCGACGCATGTGCGTCGGCCCGCCCATCGACTGATGAGAGCCTTGCTGCTGTAGCAAGGCTATCTTCTGTCGTTCGACGGCAAGTTCCCCTTGTAGGAACTTGTTGATTGCAGCATGTTGCTGATCTCTGCTTAGAGAATCCAACATGCCACTGATGGCGGATTCGCCCATGAGCACACTCATGCGGCCGACTACCTCCCATTCTACCGCTAAGTCACTCAGATGGGAGTAGCCTTAACATGTGACGTGAAAGGTGTCGTCTTCTACGTCCAACATGAACATGTTGGACGGACACTAAGTAGTCGTTGGACGGACTACAAAGTGCTACCTGGTGTAACGGGGCCCTTTTTGTTTGGGGTGCCGCGAAACTTCACGTACACTAGTACGTGCAGAGGAAG